CAAAAGAACTTAAGGACTCGGTGGAGAACGTGCAAATGCAGCTGGGGGAGGCGGAACAGCGCATATCAGTCCTAGAGGATGCAAACGCTCAGGCCAGGCCAAAGTTGGACAAGTGCGACAAGAAAGTACAGGAATTATGGTCACGAATGGAGGACCTGGAGAATAGAAGTCGTAGGAACAACATCCGAATTGTGGGTTTAAAAGAAGGCCTGGAAAAACCGGGGAAAATGGTCGAATATGTGGAGAAAATATTGGTGGACACACTCGGTCTTACTGGGAGTGTATTTGAAATCGAGCATGCTCATCGGATTCCCGTACCTATTCCTATACCCTGACAAGCCACCCAGACCGGTACTTGTTCGCTTTCTGCGCTCTACTGCTAAAGAAAGAATAATACAGATGGCCGAAGAGAAATGGGGATTCGACTGGGAAGGCGGAAAGCTGTCATTCTTCGAGGATGTCACAAAAGAGCTGGCGGAAAAGGGGAAGGCATTCGGCCTGGCGAAGAAGCGTCTCTGAGAGCTCCAGGTGAAGCACAGGATGGTCTACCCCGCTACACTAGTTTTAATGTGGAACAACCAGAAGAACGTGTTCACGGACGGGAAGGATGCGGACAGATTTCTTCAGCAACAGACTTAACTGTACAGGACAAGAGAAGTGTATGAAGATCAAACTTTAAGGTAAAATGGGTTGGGGGGGATGTATGGGGTGTGCTGCCGTCGGTCAACAGGAGACTGTCTCACGGACCAAGTAAATTTAGGTAACCCAGACTACGAGTCTGTTTGGGTGGATGAGGGTGGGGGGGGAGCTTTTCAGCGGGGTTCAATGTTGTTAAGCAAGAGGGTGCGTTCGTTTTGTTCATGTTCAAGTTGTTATCTCAGACAGCAGTTTTAAATGGGCCAAAATACTTTTGTTTTTTACATTGCCTGTACATTAGAAATGAGGGATACAGTGTTTGTTTTTGTTATACACAATGACAAGGTACATTAATATAACATCATGGAACATAAAGGGATGTGGAGACCCAATTAAACGGGGGAAGGTTCTGACATAATTAAAATCTAAAAACACTGACATAGCTTTCATTCAGGAGTCTCATCTCATGGGGGATGAAGAAGCAAAGAAATTTAAAAGAGATTGGGTGGGAACAGTATTCCATAGTTCATATTCAAGTAAACGAAATGGTGTCATGATTCTTATACACAAAAATTTAAGCTTTGTATTAATAAAAAAAATATAATGACAAAGAAGGTTGTGTTGTCTGCGTGGAAGCTCTCATTAATGGGATTAGAATCATATTGTGTAACATATATGCACCTAATAAAGAGGATCCTGATTTTTTTCATGTAATCAATAAAATAAGAGGGAATGGGCAGGGTCAGGTTATCTTAGCAGGAGATTTCAACCAGGTAATGGATGGAATAATTGATAAAAGTAATGCAAGAGGTCAGCACTTGCCCAGGGATAGAGAGGCAATACACATGTTAGTAGAGGATATTAGTAGATATATGGAGAATGGTGAATCCTTCTACAAGAGATTACACATTTTGTTCCCATTGTCATAAAACGTACTCAAGAATAGATTTCTTTTTGATATCCAAAACTTTAGTAGACTCGGTGGTAGATTGTTAAATTGGGACTATAGCTATTAGTGATCATGCCACAGTTGTGTTGCATATTAATTTGAACCAAGATAAGTCTAAGAAGGGACGTTGGAGGCTTAATAGCACGCTTATGCAAAACAAATCATTTAGTGATGAGCTAGCCGAAGATCTTAAAATGTTTTTTAATATTAATATGGGCTCCACAGAAAAAGTTGCAACTGTGTGGGAAACATCTAAAGCATATATTAGAGGTAAAATAATTGCGCACGCCACAAAAACCAAGAAAGGTAATTTAGAAAAAGTGAAGAAATTAGAAGAGGACATACATCAATTGGAGAAGGAATTGGCAAGACAATTTTCTGATAAGAAATACCACGCTATTTGTAGAATGAAATATCAGCTACATGATATCTACAATAAAAAAGCAGACACCCCCACAACGGAGGGGGAGATTAGAGCAGCCATCTCATCTATGAAAAATGGAAGTCACCGGGCCTCGATGGCTTTCCAATCGAATACTATAAGAAATGTATTGACATTCTGACTCCAATTTTGCACAAAGTCTATATAGAAGCATTTGACTTGGGCTCCTTGCCAAGTTCGTTTAATGAGGCACTGATATCTTTATTCCCTAAAAAGGACCGAGACATCTCAGATCCAGCAAACTCTCGACCTGTAAGTCTTTTAGGAGCAGACTGTAAAATTCTAACAAAGATATTGGCCTCACGTCTGGACAATTTGATGCCTACAATTATTAATGATGATCAGGTTGGTTTCATTAAGAATAGATGCTTAGGAGATAGCATGAGGAGACTCATCCATATTATGCATAAAAGTAGATCTAGTTTGGACCCGGTCGCGGCCTTCTCTTTGGATGCGGGGAAGGCTTTCGACCTGGTGGAATGGGGTTTTCTTATGATGGTCCTCTCAAGGTTTGGGTTCGGACAGGGATTCTGTAACTGGGTGAGGACCATATATTCCAGTCCAAGGGCAGCAGTAATGACAAACGGTCTGTTGTTCAACCTGTTTGACCTCTCCAGAGGAATGGGACAAGGATGTAGTCTGTCGCCTTTACTGTTTATTATATTCTTAGAACCGCTGGCTCTGAAAATCCGTGAAAATAGAGACATAAAAGGGGTAGAGGCAGGGGGCAGCGAGCATAAGTTGTTTTTATATGCCGACGACATCTTAGCTGTGTTGACCGACCCGGAGCACGCTTTACCATCATTACTTGCATGTGTTGAATCATATTCTAAGATCTCGGCTTATAAGATAAATTGGAATAAATCTGAAAGCATGCCTTTGTCAGGATCATGCCATTCTAGGCATGTCACCGCCTTTAATTTTAAATGGTTAACAACAGGTATGAAATACTTAGGAATACTGTTGAATCCAAAATTGGAAGAAATAATGCAGTCAAACATGAACCCTCTCCTCCAGAAAATAAAAACAAACTTGGAGAAATGGGGAAAATTAAGACTTTCAGAATGGGGTAAAATTAACATACTCAAAATGGTGGTAACTCCAAAATTCAATTATGTTTCCATGATGTTACCTGTAAAAATATCTTCAGATATATTTGTTCAATTTGAGAAAATTGTAAAAGATTTTTTGTGGGACAAGAAGAGACCCAGGGTCAATATAAAGAAAATGTGGGCCCCGAAAGACATTGAGGGAATGGCTCTTCCAAGTGTGAAGCCGTATAACTTCGCATTTGAAATGTCAAGACTTGTTAAACACCGGACAAAGACTAAGCCTGACCTAAGTTGGATTAAGATTGAGCAGGAATTCATGGACCCCTTTACACCTGTGAACTTTCTATCCCAGAGGTCTAAAACAGACAACCAGGAACTCCAGGACAACCCTGTACTCAATTACTCAAAACATGTATGGAGAGAAGTGCATAAATGGTGTGGAATATCACATTTGAGACAACCCTATGCCTCACTGTGGCATAACTCAGCAGTACGGATTGGGAAAAGAGCGCTATATTGAAAGGAGTGGATTGATAAAGGAATGCATATGATCAGTAATCTCTATAAGGATGGGGTGTTTATGTCCTTTGATGAGGTGCTTCAAAAATATAGACTGGAAAAGAAGGGTCATTTTTGGAGGTACTTGCAACTAAGGGACTGCGTTACCAAGGGCAAATTCACCCAGGAAACAAATCCAATAATGGACTTCTGTGGAATGTCGGAGGGAGCGCAGAGGGCCGCAATACTATACAAATTGTTTACTAATTTAAGAAAGGGCATATGTGAGAATCTAAGAAATGTTTGGCAAAGGGATCTGGGATGCACCATAAAAAAGGAAGAATGGGATAAAATATTGTTAAACTCCTGTAAATTTATAAAGGAGGCTAAGGGGAAATTTATTCAGTACAAACTGCTACATAGGTGGTATTTAACTCCCTCTAAACTCCAAAGAATGGGAATTATGCCAAATGATACTTGTTGGAAATGTCACTCAGCCACTGGAACGTTTATGCATGCTATTTGGGAATGCAATAGGGTTTATCCTTTTTGGGAAAAAGTAGTAGATCACATAGGGACATGGATCAGCAAAACTGTACCAAAATCACCAAGGTTATGTTTGTTGGGGGATAAGTCAGTAATGCCAGGAGTAACAAAATGTGAATATGTGGTTGTAAAGGTTGGGGTAATTACAGCAGCACGGGTAATTTTGAGCGTGTGGAAGGATCCTGTAATGATATAACTTCATACAGGCTGTACAGTAGACAGGGTAGATGTGGTACAGGAGGTGACTTTAATTGCCTTATGAATCCTTTGATGGATAGGTTTCCTTTGAGTGCCTTGTCCCTATCAAAACAGTCAAAACAACTCACTGGTCTCCCTGAGAACTTTGGATACTTGGATGTTTGGAGGACACTTCACCCTGCAGATAAGGAATTCACCTTTTTTTTGGCGTCAGAGCTGCTATGCAAGCCACTGCCTGCCATTGGGAGCAACTTCGGGTTCATTGTCTGGCCCAAGGACATTTCGACTGTGGAGGGGCGGGGGATCGAACTCCCAACCTTGCGATCAGAGGACAAACGCTCTACTACCTGAGGTACAACTGCCCCAAGTAGAAGTACAAGTTGATAAATTCCATACTTTACGTGGGAATGTTTGTACGCATTCATTACGCACACATCTGTGCATACGCACTGATAATAAATGAGAGTAGAGAGGCACAGAATCTGAGGTGTTTGAGCCCAGTGTGAAGCTTCCACAGTCTGTGATAATGAGCACTTGGAGGACCACTGGCCCAAAATCAACGCAGCATCTACCAGTAGATTTTGGAGCACTACATGCTTCCGTCTGCTCAAGAGCTTTTTGGTTAGGTTAGGTTGGCCAGACAACTCACCAGATCAGAACTCTATAGAAAATCTGTGGCGTGTTGTCAAGAAGAGAATGGGACGAACCAGAACCAACGTGAAGAAGAACTGAAGGCCACTATCCAGGCAATCTTGGCAACCATTACCCCTCAGCAGTCCTACAGACTGATTGCCTCCATGCACGCCGCATTGCTGCAGTAATTTGAGCAAAGGGAGCCCTGACCAAGTATTGACAGCGCATACAGGAATATCCTTTACAGAGTGTAGATATTTCTATATTATTGATTTATTTATTTTTTTAATTAATCTTTTGAAATATTAAGATATTTTGAGATTGGTTTTGGAGGGTGTTAATGAGATGTAAGCCATTATCATCAAAGTGAAAAAAATTAAAGATATTTGTGTTTATATGTAATGAGCCTAAAATATATACAGTTTCCACTTTGAGCAATATCTGATGCAAAATATTGACGTTTTTCCACCATATTCTAACTATATGAGATGCACCTGTCACCTGTCAACATTTTTTATTTACCTAGCATGATTATATATCCTGATAATACAGATTTTAATGTAAGATGATACATAGTACATAATGATACGTTATTGCTGGTCAGTGAAAATGAAAAAGAGTAATATCTTCTTCTTTAATGAAACTGTGTATGTGTACTGTGACTTTTTTTTAAGTCAGAACCCTTCTCCCCTCTGTTGTTTTTTTTTTTTTTTAGACGGGGGAAATGGAGGTGAAGAATCCACTGTTTGATGACTCCACCCTTTACCTGCAGAGATTCCACAAGTAAACCTGGACCTAAAGATATTTTCATACTCTGCTGTGCTCTCTCGACCGTTTAACTCGACAAGATGGAGTAACTAAAGTACATGGAGGAGAGAGAGGTTTAGGAGTGTCGCGCACTCTGACATTCAAAGAACGTGCCTGTGCTGGTTTCTCGTTTGAAGCAGGACTGCTCTGGGACCAATGTGACCCATTCTACAGCCATGTTATTTCTTGTTTTATGTCACCACTCTTTTTTCCAAACAAACTCTTCTGGTCAGGTAGCAGACACATATTAAAACTAATATTCTGTGTAGAGCCCAGTACACAGACCATTTTCTGATACCACCAAACTACATTTAAGTATTTCTATCTGTTCATTCACAGCTTTCATGGATCTCCGTGTTTGTTTATCAGCAAGTGCTCCTTTATTTGTTGATTTCTCACTGCAGGCTTTGTTTTTATTTCCTTCTATGTATGTAAACTCTTGTTTATGACTGTGTATACATTTATATATAAAAAGGATCCTTTAGGTCCTGTAATTTGCAGGTTGGGGGCCTCTGTGGATCAGGTTTAAGCTGGGTCAACGAACCTGTTTCTTTGTCGTATTCTTCAAGCTGTTCCTGTTTTTATCCTGTGAAGTGGCACACAACATGGAGAAGACCGCTAGTGTCTCACCAATGTACAGTACATGGGGGAGACACTCTACAAAGTATGTGCCATTGCAATGGGGAAGGCACTTGGGTTATAGCCTTTATCTTTAACTGTCCACCTAGATATGTTGACCAAGGTTTCCCTGCAGAATATTGCTGTCACGTTGTTGCGTTTCCTATCATGTTCTGATCAAGTTTTTTTTTTTTTTTTTAATCCCCAATCCAATCCGAGTCATTTAATATTGAGTGTCTGCCAGTACTGAGTCCCAGTCTGATACCATTTTCCTAGATAATAGAGTCGCACAGCACACAAATCAAATATATTGAAGTTATTAAAAACAATCCAATGTATATACTTGACATCTAAATAGCTCTGCAATGCATTAAGAAAAAAAATGCCTTAATCTAAGCTGTTCCTTAATGTTACTTTTATTTTACAATATACTAGATTATGCTAAATTAAATACATCTATCTCTTAGCACAACTACATATAGCACCGCATTATCGTAACAAAACTAGAACAATTAAAATGAGCAATAAAATCCCAATTTCTCTTCAGAGTGGTGTAATAGATAAATTTAATATTTCTAGTCACAACAAACAAAATATAACTGTTCCACTGAGTGCAGCATTGTAGTAAAGCTAGTATACTAAAAATAAACAAAAGAAATTTCCATTTCAATTAAAATGGTAAAGCCAATAGCAGCCACAGCCTATAAAAGACCTCATAGGTAGTCAGGAACCTTGTTGTAAGGTTCAGGGACTGTGTTTCGATTTCAAGCAGGTGCAAACAAAGGGCAAATGATGGCTTCTCATACAGAAAGCTCCAAAAGACACCGAAAACCTCTTTTCTCTACCACAGCAATAAATTCAATTACATTCTCTCCAATCTTCTTTGCCGTATTGCTGTCATGAGGAAATTTCTCTTTCCATTTGAAAAAGTACGCCATTGTGTGTTGCTTGGTAGAGCCTTTTACTGAGCTGCTTGAGAAAACCTGCCGTGTTCTGGTCAGTGTTTACTTTTTAGATGCCACATTAAACGGGTAGTATTGAATGCAACTGCGTTACTATCAACTTTTGAAATACTTGCACTGCAGATATTACAAATTGCTTATTTCACGGGGCTTAAACTTACACACTCGTATTTGGGGGGGGTTCCTAGACGTGTGAACAGGACAGTGTCAGACAAGTAGCTGCAGCTAGAAGATCCCCGGTCCAGGTTAGGATGTCTGGGATCTTTCTGTGTGGAGTTTGCATGTTCTCCCCGTGCAGTGTGGGTTCTCTCCGGGTTCTCCGGCTTCCTTCCACAGTCCAGAAACACGTTGAGGTTAATTGGTGATTTTAAATTGTCCGTAGGTATAAATGTGAGTATGGTTGGTTGTCTGTGTCTGCAGCCCTGTGATAGACTGGTGACCTGTCCAGGGTGTCCCCGGCCTTCATCCTGAGTCTGCTGGGATGGGCTCCAGCCCCCCGTGACCCTAGTGAGGATTAAGCGGTGTATAGATAGTGGATGGATATTTGTGGCTTTTAACAAATACAAATAGCTCTGTAGATTAAAGGGAAAGCAAAGAGTATACACACACTACTGAATGACATAGCTTCCCAACTTTTGTTAGAACTGAACAGGCAAACATTTCTTTATTGGGCAAAGAAATGACAAATGGTAAATGTCTGTGTAAAACTGACTACATCATGCTGATTTCAAGGACAGCCAATCAAGCATATTTAGACTTTTAATTTGACACTCCAGATATATTCTCAGAACAGAAATTGGAATCATAGAGATCAGAAAGTTGCTTCAGAAACCAAATTTACATATAATTAGGAATATTTCAGAAATGTTGTTACACTGCCAAAAATCTCATTGACCCCAGTCACAGTTCTAATGAAAGCCTAGGATCCTTTCATAAATGGAAGCTAACAATTGGGAAATTTCAGCTTGCTGGAAAAATATACTAGGTTCTAGGCACATGGAAAACATAGCATAGCAGAATAAGCAGTCAATCGGATGTTCCATAGCTCTGTGCTAAACTGACAATAAGGAGGATTTTGCCATTGAAGAAGGTATCAGAAGTACATTTTGAAAGATTTTTACTCTCAGTTTCACTGACATGGTGGCAGTGTTTGCATTTTTATCCTGGCAATTATAAATCTTTATATTTTAATTTTGCCATAGCTAATATACATTCAGATTCTATTTTAGCTCAGATAAATGTGGACTATAGATTATACCATATGCATTCCAATGCCAATTCATAAGGTACAGCTAGCTGAAACTAAAGCAGTCTAATCTCACTGTTGTCTTTCTAGATTTTATTTTAGTGAAGCTAAAGCTGTTATTGTCACCTGGCCAGTATAGGCTGTATAGGACAAGGTGTGCACAAGTACCTGTCTGTATGTGGTCATGTTACCCCACTGCATGGGTAATAGAATTTACTTGGCGCCCATCTGACTCTTCAGCTCAAGTGACAATGTATGGCAGAGTCACAGGACAGGAACCCTGGACATAACGGTGGCCTCTCGTTGTCATCTCTCAGGAAAGCTGCTCTATGTAGCTCATCTCTTCTGCCGGCTTTTATTGTTTCAGCCTCTCAACTTTCACACAGTACTTCGCCTGCACACACACAGACATAAGAGTGTCTATATGTAAAAATAAGTATCTACAGCTGATACCAGAAAGTATTTACTCTGGAGTTCTTTAACTCTGTTGTAAACACAATTTTATCCAAACCCTACAGAGCTTCTGGAACAAAGTGATGGACATTTTAGAGAGCTGAGAGCTAAACAGATACTGAGCAAGTTGTCTTCTTTTGCTTATTCTCTCTGACGATGAGCTAGTCTCATTAAGGAAATCGCGAACTGCCTTTGACTGTTTTCAGACTGCCGAGTTGTATACACTAAAGACAACTTCTTTACCAGCATGTTTAGCATGCATGTTGAAATGCCAGAGCTGAAATGAAAAAAATAAATATTTCTACAATCTGAAGTGAACATGGTTTATTGTTACTATATGTATTGGGTGCCAGGCAGAAATCGCCAAGAAAGACTCTCCTAAACTGAAAAAACACTACCAAGCTCTGGCCGTGGATGCACATGAAACCTTTGGAAGAGCAACAGACACTGAATTCTTTTTCCACTACAAATGTGTTGACTGTACATAAAAGGAACATTGTGATTATACATACTGTGAATCTACTAAGAAAAAATAGTGGAATTCAGTGCTTTGTAAATGACAGCCTTTGGTGAAGTAAAAAGCCAGCCATTACAAAGGGGAGATGTGACATCATTTAAATATGAGAGTGACAGTACATCTTTTACTACACATTCAAAGTGCCATTTTGAATTCAGTTTTAATTATTCTACTATGGTCATAGTTTCTTAAATAATATTTATGTTTCCCTAAATAGCTGTGCTATTACAATTTTTTTTTTTTTTTAGGTCAGCATGAAAGTCAACAAACTGTTTGATATCACTAATTTAGACTTTGCCATATTATTTTGTACATGACAAGTATTCAACAAAAAAAAGGTGACACAGGCCACTTTGTGCCATACTGCCACCTACTGCCAATAGTGAATGTTGCAGTTGTCTACATACACTAACCTTTAAACAAGTCAGAATAATAGTTCTTAATACAATAGTACAATCCCTTCCATCAACTGTCGGTTACTTGATGCATTTTTATGGCTTATTACTAATTACTGAGCATTACATTTTGATTATCTGTTTTGTACTACATAAATGCCACAATTTGCACATGATTTTTCTGGTAACTGCTCTCCTGCTGCTGCTGAATGGGGAGGGAATTCCACATCAGATCCATGCTTCCAAAATGTAACTGTAATGTGTTTGTTACTTTATAACAAACTTTGCTAAAAGCAAGCCTGACAAACTTACTTTTCTGCAGTAGGCCTACTGAGTTTTCTTTTCTTTTCTTTTTTTTTAAAAACTTTATTTAATAATAAGTAGTAGATACATAAGTTTTTTAAATTAATGTATACAGAAGTTATTTTAATGCTGCTGTCGTCGCTATGTTACCCAGAAGCAATGGTCCATCAAATTGGCTTGTACAGACTGTTGCTTAGCTAAAGACACCGCCGAGAAGTCTCTTTGTGTGCTTGTGGTTAGTCATTTTACTAAGCTGGCCCAGGTCAACCTTAGGGCTATTGCCTAACAGCTTTGGACCAACTTTGTGTCCACTCAGATCAGTGGAGCTGTTGAGAGATTCAACCAAATACTTGGAAATATGATCTGAGCCCTCTACCAAAAGTCAAACATAGATCACCCCAGCTGCTTAGATCTCCCTCCTTCTGCTGTAACACCACAGTGGAGGAGACAGGTTTTGTTGCTGTGGTCGTTGGCTTAGAAGACCTGAGGGCTGTACTACGAAGCGAGATTAGTGGGTGAGCGAGGTATGTTGAGCTTAAAGCCAGAATTTTCAGTACCACGAAGGTGGCTCTCTTTTTGCCTGGCTAGATCACCATGGTAACATATGCTGTGGAACTAACCTGGTCGGGAGCAGGTTGTGTTCAGAGTTTTGGCTTAACAGGGCTTTGACAAGCGCCGCCCTTTCTCAACTCCTTTGGACATGGCTTCACCATTCATTGACAATCCAGTGGATCTGAGTGCACGCATACTAAGGGGCTCTCTCAGGAGGGAGAGAGTTTCAGGGATCGGAGTGACCCTTTGGCTTTTCCCGATGATGTTCTCTATGAGCGATACAGATTTTCAGCTGAGGGAATTCGCTACATCTGCAAAGTAGTTGGGCCGTGCGTTTCACACGCCACCAAAAAAAGCCGCGCACTTACAGTACCACAGTCGGTCTGTATTGCGTTGCGCTTCTTTGCCACAGGAGCCTACTTGCATTTGGTTGGCAATGCAGAGCACTTGAGCAAGAATACCGTGTGCTGCGCCATCCGAAGGGTTGTTCTTGCTCT